AGCGTGTTTCAGAGCATAAGTTTTGAAGAGCTGGAGTGTGTTAACAAAGACGGTATTGAGATCGAGTTGAACGTACAGTTTCAGTATCGGGCTCGACCCAAGGAACTCCGAGATATTATATTGCAGTTTAAGGACAAAGACCGCTACTTGAAACTGCTCAAGTAAGTGCGTAAATAAGTCTGTTTATGGCAGTCATGGAAACCAAATGATGGTAAGCGTTGATTGACGTGTTCTAAACGAAACACTCAGTCTTGAGGGGAACATCCAGTTCGAGGAGAGACAAACCTCACTGTTCCCCGCTGGGTCAGTCATCATTCAGTGTCTTGTCATACATCTCCACTAAAAAATATTGGACTGGCACACAAATTTGCCGCGGTTTCTGGGAGCATGACCGTATCACGTGCGAGTCGAAAGTTCAAGTTGTTGTTTGGGAGTACGTATCACGTGTCACGTCCTCCTCCAATCGGAAAACGTAGACTTGAGTTGGGAGGAATAACAACTTTCAGAATTAAGATTGTGGTCCCAAAATATATACAGGTCTTATCAAAAAGTACGGAAAATAATGGGATTTGCTTAATTTTCAACATTCAACTTTGAGAATCGTGGGAAAACGTTTCAGGAACAGATTAACTTTAACTTCCAGGGGTGATTAGCGTGTAACTTTCATAATATCCATACATAACCCAGCAAACAGGTAATGAGAATACTCAAACTTATCGGGCAGAAGTTGTAATCTTGATCTAACACCTAATTCTTGTAATTGATTTACAAGGAAATGTGTACTGGCTAAAGGGTAGAATTAACAATCAGGTTACAGTTCGCTTTTTTTCTTTTCATCCTCAGGAGCATTGCTGAGTCCGCTATCCATGATTCATGCAGTGCGTTCAATACCACACAGCTACAGTCTGAAAGAGCTTCCTTCCAAGATCTCGTGCGTAAAACAATTGGTCGAAGATTTGGTAGTGTGGGAGCTGATGTCGAAGACCTTCAGGTAACTAGCAGCATGAGAATACGCACAAAAAAGCTGGATAAATAACGAAAACTGAAACGTTGCAGTTATTTAGGCTGTTTTTCCTTTCTTAACCTCGTTTCTAGATCATTTCAACCCTTCCTCCCTTACTCATTCCTAAGGAAAGAGGAGAAAAATATGAAATGAGGTGTTTCCCAAACCTTCTTCTCCCAAGTCCGTCCCTAAAGGAGAGGAAGAGAAAAAGGAAGGAAGACAGAGCTTTCTCTCTTTCCTTTTACTGCAAACCACAATGTTCGATTGCATGCTGTCAGTCTATCAGGCGATAGCGTCATCACCTTATGAATGGACTGCCCTTTTAACGATTCTTTCCTAGTGAGATGAAACGTGTCATTCTTCCCATTCAGCTGCTTCACATTTCCTTTAAATTAGTTTCTAGGGTTAAGCGTTACATCAAAACAACACCCATTAGCTGTAAGTTGATCTATTTTCGAGTCCATCACCTGTTTGCTACATAATGTAGTGCTACACAGTAAATCGCTAGATGTTTTAACACCTTTTCTACCCTAATACATTTCCTCTATACTGTCCTCTGTACATTTTCTGTGTTACTAATGACAAGGTTGATTTGTGTAACAGTCAATAGATACTTTGGAATGTGAGACTTTTCTATATATATTCCCAAATTCTCAAGGTTGATACAGCAATGACGCTGTAAGGAGAAAATAGATGCTAATCACTCTGAGGGATTCAAGGGTAGGAAAGCCGCTTGCTTCCTTGTAACAGTTCTTTACATGGCACATATGAAGTTTAATTTTTTTTTCTTTACTCCAGGTTCAAAACATCATGCGCCCGGAATCCTACGAAAAAGTTATCCGAACGAAAGAAGCCACCAAAGAAAACATAAAGATCGCAGAAAATGAGCGTCCTCGACTTGTTGTACAAGCGGAAACTGAGAAAGAAGAAGCTGTCAAGCAAGCTGAGATCACAATTCAGCGTGCGGAGTCTGAGGCGAGGGTGCTCTTGTCCAAGGCGGACGCAGAAGCCAGTAGTATCAGAGCAGCATACGCTGCAGAAACAGCAGCATTCCTGCAGCTCAAGAACGACACACTCAGTAACAGTGTAGCAGGGCTACTGTCGTATCTTGGAGTGCGACTCATCGCTGAAAACAATAACACTGTTAATGTAGCGCTGGAGGCTCCAGCTAAAACCAAGTATACATACACCTAACCCTTGAGCACACAACTTCTAAGCTGTAATGTACCCTAGTGGCTGCCATAGGTTTTCCCTTGAAGATCTAGATGATATTAACGTATTCCAACCGGCAAGTTATATGTGATCAGTTTTTGAGTCATGGGTTAAAAAGAAACAATGTAAGCAAGCCCCCTGTGATGAACAGGGTCCTTAAAGTCAAGTCGTAAAATTGTGTTTAGTTCAGATTTACCTGAGCTCAGCTTAGGCTATAATTAGCCTTTATAATTAAAAGTAAAATCCCAGAGGGTACATAGGCTAAAACAAACAAACAAACAAACAAACAAACGCACACGGAGAGACAAGCTTGAGTTCTTTCATCGGGGCTGATTTCAAGTTTTAAGAGAAGAGAGATGTCCTCGATAAAACGTTGTTGTAATTGCAATAGAAAGCGTAATAAAACAGTAGCAGTGAATTATTTGAGGTAAATATAATTGCATGGTTTGGTTCCAAAATAAGAATAAAAATAATTTGCATCTTAAGTTTCTATAAGCTAACGTGAAAAAGAGTTTGAGCAAAATACGTTAGAACAGAGCATCAAATAGCCAATTTTTTTCGCTAAAATCAGCCCCACCCTCCCCGCTAACTCCTCTCCAACACCACTGATAAGTGGCCTTACCCGGCTCCTTTAAGATTATATTGCTTTGATTTCTTATTATAAATAGAATCAATCTTCGTGATCAATGATCAATCCCTCACGATGATCACAAACTGTCTACTGCGTCCATATGATTGGCTCAAAACACCTTCCATCGCAGTAAACATGAGTTTAATCATTTCCTTGACGTTCACTGTTCTACAGCACAATAACTTAAACTTCCGAGGTATTTAAGTTACGAAAACTCAGTCCTCACTTAAAGTGAACGTTTCACCCAAACACTTACTTTATTTCCCTATTAATACAATAATTTAAGCCTTAAAACCTAACGACATTTTGTCAACAAAATGCCGTCTTTTCATGTCCTTTGAACATGCGAGCGCTCCCGGTAATCATTCACAACGTTCTAAAGGCACACATGTCCCCCCTAAAAAGGTGCGCAAGTCACCAAAACCCAACCAAACACAGTTATTCATATAGCCGATACACGTTTAATCTCCTCAGCCTTTCCCCCCACTAAAATGAGGATCTTTTGATCAAGGTATTATTTCTTTTGGAAAATACAGCTTGGGTGATTTGACTACCTTCTACGCATAGGTTTAATTCATATAATTAATGCGATTTAAAAGCTATGAAATAGCCAGGAATGATACAAGAGCCTAGTAAAGGTCTCTCCTCTGCTCTAGATCTGGCCACCAAACTTCACAAGTGCATACATAACTCGATATACGCCAGCTAAAGCATGAACCAACTCTAAATAACATGGCATACAGACACAAGTTGTGCGCGAAGCAAAAAGAGTTAATTACAACTGTGTTGAGTTTACCCAGTAATCGTGTTCTACCCGGAGAAGGAAAAAACTACCAAGAAATATTGGTATTAGATTCATCATGCTCGATTCGTTGTTTACTAGATTTCACGGCCAGGAAATTACATAGGTTTGCAGTGAAAATCTTGAAAGATTCTGAAATTTTACGCTTTTGAAATTAAAACCACCTATTGGCATTTTTATCCAATAAAAGTAGATTTTGAACTAAAACAAGGGAACACCACAAGATGGCTTCGTTGCAGTTGTTCATTTTCGCATGCATAACCGATCAAGATGAGGCAAAAGCATGACACTTCGTTCGAATTTGGGACATTTTTACACTGTGGCGGATCAATACAAATTACTTCTCTTTAGATTTCAGGTGTATGCATTTTCCCAAACTTCACAAAATTCGTCGAAATATTCGCTAAGTTTTTCATTTTTGGACTTGTTCTAGTTGGTTGGGAAAGGAATGCTGCGGTGGTAATGCACCAGTAAATTGAAACCCCCACCCCCCGACCCCCGGGATAGGGCGGGGAATTTAACATTTGTGAAGTGTTAAATTTTGCTCATTTCCCCTGTCACCTGGGAATCATTTATTGTTAAAACCCCGTGTATCCCCCCATATCCTCGATCGCTTGTCAAGGCCCCAGTGTTTTTTGGCTGATTTATGTAATAAACACAAATCAGATTTTGGCCTTTTTTAAACAGTTTATTAGCAAGTATATTATAGATTGAAGCACTCATCATTCATACAATTTTCACTCCAAAGTCCACTGTTTAGAAGGAAATTGTGATGTTGCTCTGCCTTGAAGAATTATCAAAACGTTTGTTTTTCGTTTCTCTTCTGGTTTCTAGTTTGTTCTAGTTTTCTGAGATTTCTTGTCAGTGTCTACGCGCCTGTGATGAAATTTGACCAGCGCTCCCACCGTTGCAAAATGATGTTTCCTTGCTCTTCGGGAATACCAAAGTCTCCTCGGACTACATGAAGTAATTCAGCTAGAGTTTGATCTCTGACATCTCTCGCCTTACGTCTCTCTTCAAACTGGAAAAGAATCTATAATACAAAACAAACTCGTTATTAAACGAGTATTGTACTTTCTATGCAGAAAGCGAAACTAATCTTAGCCAAATATTAGCGGAAGAGGCATGAGTACTAACGAGAAACCTGTTGTACCCACAAGCCACCACTTCAACATGTTTGAGCCTGCGGTATTTACAGCACAAAACAAAGATGGCGCGGAACTGCGAGAAAAAGTTGATAGGCCTCAACAGATTATGGCTAGCCAAACAACAAAAAGGTGAATATCTAGACGTATTTTTAAACGTTGTTTATTAAACGAGGTATTGTTAATCCTTTCCATGACGTTTGGTTCTAGAGGAGGAGGAGAGCCGGCCCAGAAGACCGCATCTGGTGAGAGACGAGCAATGTGTTCTCATAATTTTGAAAAGTTCTGTGTACTTTGCAATCAGCCGATGGAAATAGTAATTAAAAAAGATATAGGTATTCATATATTAAATAGTTCTATGTTACTAAGGTACTGGTATATATGGAATGAATAAGTGCATTTTTTCATTTACTTATTTCTTTGTTTTCAACCCAAGCGTTCTCTGAACAGTGCTGCAGAGGTTAAAAAGTGGATTCCTGGAATAAAGAAGGAATTGGATTATTATTTAGATGTAAGTTGACATTATGTTAACCTTGTGTTTTTTTTGTTATTATCCTTCAAAAAATTAATGGTTAGATGGTCTTTCTTCTACTATTCTTTTTTAATCTGGGTATCTGGGTATTTAATCAGGATTTAGAAAAAAGGATTAAAAATAATAATAATAAATAACTAAGCATGGATGTTTTTGAGACATGGTTCTTGACCAGAGGGATAACAGAAAACTCAGCTCTTTCTGGTGGGTTTCATCACTAATCAAACAGCCAAGCCAATATTTTCTCATTTCAAACAAAACGCTATGATATAAATAAACAGTCACTTTAATATGTGAATAAAGGTTGATAGTTTCTAAAGAAACTGTTAGGGGCTGCATCAGTGGGGCTAACGAAATAATTTGGATATATCAACAAAGTTGAAATGGTAAATTGGCCACTGTAATGATTACAGCTTTTGTGATCGTTACGGTGGCCAATTTACCATTTCAACTTTGTTGATTATATCCAAATTATACTGTAATAAGTGCAAGGTAAAATAAGTCATAAACTGTACTATTTATCTATCAGTGAAACTAAGTTGATAAAAATCACCAAACCACCCCCTTCTTATTTGTAAGATGAATACTTTGGTACTCACTTTTAATTGACTTATCTATTTCAATATTTGTAGCAACTCTCTGGAGCGAGAAAACATAGGTATCCTGATACAAAAATGAAAGAATTTGAAAAGAAGGTGGAAGAACTTGAAAATGAATACAAAAGGTATTAAATTTATCAAGAAGAAAACTTTAAAGAAGGGTCCACCCAGGGAATAAGTTACTGTTCAAACTGATAGAAATTTCTTGTATTTTGAAGGATCATTTAAAATTAAAAGTAGGAAACGATGCTGAGTTTCGCAGACTGAAAGCTATGTTGGATTGGATGACATTGTATAAGCACTACTACATGTCATCCAAGAAGTGATTTGTTTATTGATAGGATTCCCAATGTAACAATAACTTTATTTTCATATGGTCAATGAAGTCAGTTAAGATACTCCACTGACTATCTACTTATCTACCTAACTACAATAAAAATAATAAAATTTTTTCAAAAGTAAAAACTGCTTTTCATGGAGGTGGTGTCCAAAATTTTACTTACCTGGTAAAACCTAAAATATTACTTAAAACTGAGGTGATGTAATTTAGATTTGCATTAGGTCTTTAGGTACATGTGTTTTTCCACAACTGAGCTCCACTATACAGAAAACTTCTTTTGAGATCATCAGTTCAGATGGGTTTCTGTTCTAACCTTTAGCAATGGTTATTTAAAGTCACATGATCCAACATGGTGGTATGCACAAATTCCCCTATTTGATAACTACAGTTTGTTTCACTGGGTTTCATGAAATCTAGAAAGAAATCTAGAGAGTTTCTTTAAAAGTTTTGTCGTCATTGGTTTTCTTGTTGCATTTAATGATGATGATCATTAATTAATTATTCTTTTGTTGTAAAAGATATGATAGTGTTTGAACTCAGAACAGCTTTTCTTGACATAGCTGTTATTATTAATAATTATGTAAGGAGTTGATGGAAACTATACAAGAGTGTTTGATATATATATATTTTTTTTGAGTAGGGAGCTTACAATTTTGTTCTATCATTTGATAGGTTTGTTAAAAAGGTTTATGAATTAGATCCTAGCACAACAAGTGTTCCATGGCAACCAAGAGGTTATGTTAGTAAACGGAAAACTGCAGATTGCTCCCAAACAGGAGTGAAACTTAAAAAGATCTGCACTCCTTTGACGGATAAGGAGGTATGTTAAAATTAATACCTCTAGTTGAATACACTTGGGAATTTTGTGTAATTTGGAGCTTTGGAATAATGCTCCTGCTGCGACAAAAGAAAGTAAATGATAAAAGTGTGTGTGTGTGGAACGAATGCCAACACTGAGTTATTTGTTGTTATAAATAGATATCCCTGGGCCAGAAGTTGGTACTGTTTACTGATTTGTTAGTTTCAAATCAGATGAAGGGGTGTTTTGGTACACTAGCAAGTATACACATCACATTAGATGTTTTGTTTTGTAGTATCACTGAGTATTTTTACAAGTTGCAAGTCAAAATACAGACAATAAGTAGAAGTACTCAGTGAAACAGTAACTAGTCACAACAAAACATCTAATAAGAGATCCATTATCAGCATGCCAAATTGTTATTTCAGTGCAGGTGAATTTCACTGATATTTCTGGAGTACAAATATCGCGTGATATTTGTACTCATCTCGCATGTTATTTGTATTCATCTGGCATGTTATTTGTAATCTACAAAGCACAATTGGATAATAATAACAAGTATTTCTGATAATAGTTTCTAGTAGAGTGTTCAAAGTAATCTGAGGGTTTTCCAATATTGCTCTGTTGCACCTACAGAAAACTTGCACCACTCTCTCTTAGCTTATCAGATACAAAACTAATAACAATTGTTACATGGTCACTATCTGCAAAATTGTTTCTCTAAAATTTTCCTATAGGATGCAAAGTCGTTAGAAGGGCAAAGTGGGGAATTGAAAGAGACAGCCGAGGTTAGATTCACAGACTGCAACAACACAACACATCATTCAAATGACACAGTAAAGGTAACTTTTAGTTTAAATGGAAACATAGCAACTAATGTTAACTATTGATTTTAATTTTTGTAAAAAATATAAAATCTTATAATTATGCAGCAATGATGGTCTTATTGAAGTCCCTCTACAACTTTGATTGGCACAATAAATATTTAATATACAGTTGTGAGGTTCTTGAACTAAATCCAACTTTCTTCCGTGACAGAATTATGGAAGTGATTTTGAACAGCAGAGGGATAAAGTACACATACTGGATGTTCAACCCAAACAGTAAGAAGCTTTTGTGGGTAAATTTAATTAGGCCTGGTTTTTGTGATTTTCATTGGTTTGTTGCAGCTACTAATTACATTTCAGAGGAATCCCAATTTTCCAAACCTACTGGAGAAAAAAATTGGTTTTGATAATGAGAAAGTTTGAAAACTGAAATAAATTCGACAGATAATAGGTTAAGTTGGGAAGGGATTAGCCACTATCCAGTTTTACAAGCTAGGATTCTTTTGTAGATTGTATCTCACCAACAGTTTGAAACTGGAATCTATAGAGAGTAGCCCACTGAAACCACAGTCACACTTCATCTACAATAGGTACATGTAATTACTTTGCTTTTGGTTTCATTATGCATGGAATCAAAACATGTACAATGAGATTATAGGAAGAAAATGATCGTGAACCTTTCCCCATCATTTTTTTCTATCAAACTGTACTAAACTGCTCTCAACTTCCTCGTCAGTGCACTTGGTTTGGATTATGATTCTTCCAGTGACTCAGATGATTCTTAGCACAGTCAGTATTTATGGGACTCAAGGTAGAACTATGGAACTAATTTCAAGTATGACAGCAAAACAAGGTAAGCTAGTGTATATGTTA